TGGGACCCCGGCCTCTCCTCCAAGGTGACGACGCTTCCCGATATGGTGGATGGTGTAGCCATGTTGAGACTTCTTCTCTTGGCGTTCAGTCTCGCCAAAGGGAGGCATGTGCATGCGCCTCGGAGTTCAAACGAGGTGGCCCAGAGATGGGACGCCTGCCTCTCCTCCGAGGTGAGGAAATAATGCGATCTGTTAATTTAATCATAGAATTTTATTGAACCTTAGAAATGTTACAAGAGCTAGGAAAGATCGTCCAGCGAGGTAGTACATTCATTGGTAATAGATTCTAAGGTGCTCGATGTTCCATGGGCGTGGTTGGGCCTTGCCGTCTATGTCTTCAATCCAGTAAGTCTCAAGTCGAATTTTTTCTCTGATTTTATATGGCCTTTCCCAGTTCGGACCTAGGAAACTAGAACCAGGTTCCTTTAAGGAGAGAAAGACTATCCTAAGGACCAAATCGTTGACTCGGAATGATCTCTTCTTTACCTTTGACTTGAAGTACTTCGTCATCTTTCTTTGGTATGTGGCGAGCTTTAACTAGAATCATCTCTTCTCTCTTTGATGAAGTCGAGGTCGCACCTCCAAAGCTCATCGTTCGTTATTTCAGTAAAATACAGACGTCTTGGAGACGGAAGTCCGAGCTCAACGGGGCTCATTGCCTCAGTACCATATGCCATGAGGAAAGGTGTTTCCCCAGTTGGCGTCCTCGTGGTGGTTCGAATTGCCTAAAGAACTTGTAGTAGCTCGTCCACCCAGGCCCCTTTTGACACATCGAGCTTCATTTTCAGGACGTGTTTAATTGTTTTGTTGACAGCCTCCACTTGGCCATTTGCTTGTGGGTGGTGAGACGTGGAGAAATGCTTCTTGATAGGGGTGGGCGTGGGTTGGTTCGGTTCGGTTCTCTTTAGAACCGAACCGAACCAAAATTTTCAGGTATTTAGTAAATAGAACCGTCGGGTCCAAATATAATTATGGAACCGTTCGGGTTCGATTCGATTCAGTTCCATTCGGTTCTGTACTATAATTAAATTTTTTAACATTTATAATAACATTATATAAATACAACTAATGAAACATTCAATGGTTTTGGAATGCCATAGACTAGTAGACTACCTTGTTCAAATGATCGTTACGGTTAAAGCTTCGGTCGGCGCAGGTCACAACTTCGATCGGAGGTCACAGCATCGACCGACGATTTTATAGGTTTTGAAATTTTAGCGAAGCTACGAGAGTGAGTGCGAGAGTCGAGACAACGTTATGCACTTTAGTGTAGGTGTTTAGAGATATTTGGTGGATTGGATCTTGTTGGGCTAAGAAATGAAACAATAAAATGGGTAATTGGGCCAAAAATTTGGATTTAGAAATTGTTAATTTGTTAATTTGTTTAGAAAAAATTAAAATTAAAATAATTTGATTTACTCAATATAAAAAAAATTAGAAATATTCGGTTCTTGGTCTAGAACCAAGAATCGAACCGTACCCGTCGGTTCTCAATTCAAATACCCGTTCGGGTATTTAATTTGACAAGAACTGTCGGGTTCGATTCGAGTTCGGGAGATTTGCCCAGCCCTACTTCTTGATGCCGAGTTCTTCGCATAGTGTTCTGACCTTCTTGTTGTCAAATTGTCTACCATTGTCTGAGACAATTGAGTAGGGAATCCTAAACCGACATATAATATTCTTCCACAAGAACTTGGAAGTGTTGGCTTCTGTGATTTTTGTCAATGGCCCAGCCTTAACCCATTTCGTAAAATAATGAATGGCCACAATTGCAAAACTTGCACCTCCTCTACCTTTAGGTAGAGGGCCTACGAGGTCCACACCCCATTTCGAGAAAGGCCAAGGGCTAGAGACCGCGGTCAAATCCTGCTACGGTTGCCTTTGTACCGAAGAGAATTGTTGACATTTGTCACACTTTCGTAGAAACTCGAGGGTGTCCCTTTTCAGGGTAGGCTAGTAGTACCATTGCCTCAATATCTTTTATGCCAAAGATAGACCTCCGGAGTGATTGCCGCACACGCCCTCATGGACTTCTCTTAATATATAAGTAGCATCTTCTCCCCTAACACATCGTAAGAGTGGGGAGAAGAAGCTCCTCTTATAGAGAACATCATCAACGAAGAGGAAGTGGGTTGATCTTCTCCTTAGCTTGTAGGCCTCATGCTTGTCAGTGGGAAGTACCTAGTCTTTGAGATATGCTACAATTGGCTGCATCCAGGTAGGAGTTCCAGCGACCCACATTACATTGGGGGCCTCGGTGGATGGCAGGAGGAGGTGCTCTATAGATACTATTGTGAGTGGTTCTGAATCCTTACTACTAGCGAGCTTGGAGAGTACATCCGCATGAGAATTTTCCATGCGAGGGATCTGGGTTAGTTCAAACTTTTCAAAGGATGGGATGAGGTTCATCACCATTTTCAAGTAGGAGGCCATCGTTTTGTCATTGGCTGAGAAGTTACCATTTACTTGGCTAACAACCAGCTGGGAATCACTGTTGATGAGGAGCCTCTTCACTTGCATTTCCTTGGCCAGCCTGAGGCCTGCAAGTAGTGCCTCGTATTCTGCTACATTGTTGGTGGCCTTGAACCCGAACTTCACCGCCGAGTTTAGCTTGTGACCTTTAGAGCTGATGAGGACAATTCCAGCACCTAAGCCAGCGTCCCCAGTCGACCCATCAATGAATAAGTTCCACGTAGGGGGCTCGACGGGTTCCATGATTTCATCTACCTCGAGTAAGTTGGTGAATTCTGCCACAAAGTCAGCCAATGCCTGACCCTTGATGGCTATCTTAGCCTTGAACGCGAGGTCAAATTCACTTAGCTCCACTGCCCACTTCAATAATCTTCCTAAGGCATCAGGCTTTTGGAGCACTTGCCTTAGGGGAAAGTTTGTTAGCACGTAGATGGTGTGAGCTTGGAAGTAGGGTCTTAATTTCCTGGAGGCCATGATCAAGGCCAAAGCGAGCTTCTCCATATCGGGGTAACGGGTTTCTGGCGATAAGAGTGCTTTACTTGTATAGTAGACTAGAAGTTGGGTGGTTCCATTTTCTCGAGTCAGAACCGAACTGATGGCCTCATTTGAGACGGCCAGATATAGTTGTAGGATCTCTCCGGGCTTCAGTTCGAAGAGGAGGGGGGCCTGTCTAGGGTGCCTTTTCAGGCCTTGGAAGGCCTCTTCACATTCCTCGTTCCATTGGAACTTCTTCCCAACTTTTAGCACCTTAAAAAATGGGAGGCATTTGTCTATAGCTTTGGAGACGAAGCGGCTAAGTGCGGCCACTCGCCCGATCAAACTTTGTACCTCCTTTGGCTTTTGGGGGACCTCATCTTGTGTAGGGTCTCAATCTTCTCAGGGTTGGCTTCAATTCCACGTTGATTGACCATATATCCTAGGAATTTGCCGGAGGCCACTCCAAAGGCACACTTGAGGGGGTTGAGCCTCATCCTATATCTTCTCAAGATTTGGAAGGTGTTGTTGAGGTGCGTTATGTGATCCTTAGCCTCCAAACTTTTCACCAACATGTCGTCCACGTATACCTCCATTGTCTTGCCGATGAGGTCCGTAAATATTTTGTTGACGAGCCTTTGGTAAGTCGCTCCGGCATTTTTCAACCCGAAGGGCATCATCCTATAATCATAAAGGCCTCGGTCTGTAATGAAAGAGGTGTGTTCCTCATCGGCCGAGAGCATGGGTATTTGGTTGTAGCCGGAGTATCATCCATAAAGCTCAACAACTCGTGCCTAGCCGTAGAGTTTACTAGTTGATCAATCCTTGGGAGAGGAAAGCTGTCTTTCGAGCAAGCTCTGTTGAGGTTGGTGAAGTCGATGCACACTCTCCACTTGCCATTGTGTTTCTTTACTAAAATCGGGTTGAAAACCCACCTCGAATAGGTAGTCTCCCTGATAAAGCCATTTTGGATGAGCTTCTGGACCTCTTCCTTCAGAGCCTCGTATCTTTTAGGATTGACGGCTTTCCATTTTTTGTCTGTGTGGGGCCTTTGGATCGACCTTCAGGTGGTGGCAACTGACTTTGGAGTCTATGCCTACCATGTCCTCATGCTTCCAAGCAAAGACATCAAGGTTTTTACTTAGGAAATCTTTAATCTTTTCCTTCAGGATTTTGGACAAGCCCTTGCCTACTCTCAGCATCTTAGATGGGTCTCGGGGATCTACCGAGAAGCTCTCAAGTTCCCCAACTGGGGATGCTTGAGGTTTGTGTTCAATTATGCGGGGATCGATCTCATCAATGACCAAGACTTCCAGATTGGGTAGTGCATCAATCATATCGATATCTTCTGGTTCAACGGGAGCATCACCTGGGACGTCAGCCATGACTATATCGGCTCTGATTACATGGACGTCCCAGAACTCTACCTTTTTGATGGAGCTTAGATAACACTCTCTCGATTCTCTTTGGTCACCTCTCACTGTTGCCACCCCATTTTCCGTCGAGAATTTCATGCATAGGTGATGGATGGAGGTGACTGCTTCCAATTCCTTTAGTGCTGGCCTACCTAATACTCCATGGTAAGCCAATCGACTGTCGATAATGAAAAACTCCATGAAGTTCATCGTAATTTGGAGAGACTCTCCCATCTCCACTGCAAGTGTTATCTTTCCCCTTGGAGTGATGCTATCTCCGGTGAATCCGTACAAAGGAGTTATGGTGGGTGTCAACTGATGATCTAATATCATCTTGTCAAAGGCGGATCTGAATAGAATGTTGACAGAGCTACTGTTGTCAACTAACATTCGCTTGAGCCCATTTCGGGCTATGACAGCTCTTACAACAAGAGCATCGCAGTGGGGGTAGTGAACTCCTTCGACGTCTTCCTGGGTGAAGACAATGGATGGAACTTGGTTCCTCCGAGAGCTGCCGTCCACAATGTAGCTTGCCAAAGGGGGTGTTTAGCTTCCCGGGCATAATTCCTTTTGGCGTTTCGTGTCTCACCGTCAACATATGGGCCTCCAAATATGGTGTCTATCTCGTAAATAGGGGCCTCATCCTGGGCTTGTCGGTTTCTTCGGTGCCTGCGTCCTTCCCTTAGGCCTCTCCATTTCACGCTCCCTCTGTCGTTGGGAAACATCCCTTTGACGGGGAACAGCCTCCTCATGCCCACGTCGGTTGTCGTGCTTGGGCGGGTGCCTATTCGCCTGGGACGATTTATTTCTGTCCCTAGGGGATTCTAGCCAGGAGCGATGCGCATAGTCTCGGTAATCCACTGTGTCGTGTCCATAGGACCGGTGGTGTACACAGTATCCCGGTGGGTTCTGATTTGACCTATTTCTAGGTCCCGAACCCCGGCCTCGGCCTCTCCCCCTACGGGATCCTTGTGGGGTTTTCGTCTGCTGGGTATCAGTAACTGGGTTGATATCCTCATACGTCAAGGTAGGAACCGCGTTCAAAGTGGTGGTGGCAAGTGCTTGGCCAGAACTCTCATTTCCAGCCTGGTTCATTTGGTAGTCCATCAGGTGGGAGGTCGGCCCTCTAGCACGCTGCCGTTAAGGAGGTGGGAGGCCTCTACTTGCCCTGTTCCTATGCTCAATCAGTTCTTCATTGATGATTTCCCGCCTCATCATCTCGAGTAGGGCATCATAGGTGGTGGGATCTTGATTTTGCACGTCCCTCCATAATAGGGTATTCATGTTCAAACCTACTCTTAATGCGGATAGTGCCTCACGGTCTGTGACTTGCACACAATACGTTATCTCATCGGTGAAGCGTGATAGGATGCTCTTTAGGGACTCCCCATGTGCTTGTCTCATGTCTTGGAGATGTTGGATGTGGGCCTCTCCTTCTTTGCTTACCGCGAACCTCTTCAAGAATGTTGTCTTAAACTCGAGCCAGCTTCTCATGCTCTCAAGTGGTAACCTGCTATACCAAATTTCAGCCGCTCATCTCGGTGTCAAATGGAAAGCTCTGCACTTCACAGCTCGGGTGGCGTCCCTTAGGCTCATGTGAGTTTTATAAGCATTTAGGTGCTTCTCTGGGTCGCCTCTCCCGTCATACTTAGGTATCTTTGGCATTACATAGTGGTTTGGAACCTGGGCACTCCTTAGTTCCCTCGAGAATGGCAAATTCTCATCGTCGTCGTCCAAGTCACAGGACCTCTGCTGTTCATCTGAATCATATTCCTCGGCCTCTTGCCGTGGTTGTTGGTAAGAGGTTCCGGCATAGTTCCTAGCCTCTTCCTCCCTCCTCTGACACCTATTTCTAGGTGGTGCAACATGGGGGGTAATTTCATGCTTTTCTTCCAGTTGCTGGGGCATTGGAGGTGGAAGAGGTGGCCTTGTCCAAGGCTGGTGAGTCTGCTATTGTCTAAACCTTGGTTCAACGGGGCTGATTCTGTCAAATACACTGCCTGCCCTCGTATGTCTTGACTCCTGCTCATACGGAGGTGGGAAGTTATCATGGTTCAATGGGACCTCGATGGGTTGGCCAGAAGCGTAGTTGGAGAAACATCAACTTCAACTTCCCTTTCAAATGGGCTTCCACCTCGGCTATAGTCCGACGAGGCGGCTCTATGACTTTAAATTTCATCTTCTTGCTGGTAGTGCTCTTGAGGGGCATATGGAGGAATAGGAAAGCCTCCTTGACCCTGCATTTGGGCCATGAGTCCCTCATAGCCAAGTTTTGGCTGGCAATATCCCTCATGTTAGCCGTCATGGCAGCCATTTCTCTTGACAGTCGTGCCGTCGTTCGCATTCCACCTCTTCTCTGGTGGTGGTGAAGTCTTTGCCGAGCTGCTGGGGCAGCGGGTGGAAGAGGCACATTTGCATTTTCTCTTACCCTTCCGGGGGGTGTGTCTTCGTTTGAACTCATTTTCTTTTGTCTAACTCTTCAAATTTTGCTAAATTGTGGGGCTTCATCTTGTTCTTTTTCAAGAATAAATCCTTTTTCAAGGGGGATGCCTAAATCCTCTTCAATAAGCTTTCATCACAAGGTTGTTCGTAGTTATGGTATGGTTTCCCACAGACGGCGCCAATCTGTTGACGCCAAAAAGTGTTGCCAACAGATGCCGGACCCACCCGCGCACACATGAGCGAAGGTCATACACGCTAAGACATGTGGACAGTCTAGAACGAAAGAATCAGGGGCGTGAAAGTAGCTCAACGACGCGGGATGAGAACGTTCAGAATCCGACGGGGATGTTCGTAATCCGATTGTACAATAATTACCAATCGGTGCTCATGAATGTGAATGTAAATATGTATGAACTCGTATTGTGTTGTAAGATAATATGAAAGAGAGAGTAAAGTGTGGTTTCTTGTATTGATTCTTGCATTAGTCCTTCAATGTTATACAAGGGAAGTATTTATAGTGTTACATGTGAAATGACAGCCCTTAGATGATGTGGCACGTGGCCTCATCTCTTTAATTCAAATATCCAATACTAGGCATCATCTTTGACTTGCTCGCTTGCTGCGCATTTATTGTTTATGCAGAACCCCCATGCTAATGACAAGACTTGACATGTATACTTATGACAAACGTTCCATCAATCATTCTAGCAAGATCTTTACGGAGAAGATCTCTCGGGAGAAGTGATCATGGAAGACATTCCTTCATGGTTCGGAGGCTTTTGCTTCAGCTTAGGATTCGGGGCTTATGCAGAACCCCCATACTAATGACAAGACTTGACGTGTATACTTATGACAAACATTTCATCAATCATTCTAGCAAGATCTTTACAGAGAAGATCTCTCGGGAGAAGTGATCATGAAAGACGTTCCTTCATGGTTCGGGGGCTTTTGCTTCAGCTTAGGATTCGGGGCTTCTGCCACTCATGTAGTACTTCCGTTTTTGGGCTTCGACTATCTTCACAGGCCTCGGCATATGGGCCTCGGATATACAAACCACCTCGACTAGAGCGCTATGTGATTTAGATTGAGTGGGTCATAGGCCCGTGTAGGTTGGCTAAATATGACAACACATAACAATAGTCACCCAAGTCCAAGTATAGTCATTTATGTAATGCATGGATTTCAATGAAGTAAAGTCATCTAGCCACGTGGTTCAGATTGAGTGGGCCATAGGCCCACGTAGATTGGCCAAGTATGACAACACGTAACATGTCGCTTTAATTTTCAATGATGAAAATGGTACCAAACCGTCTTCACTGTGCATTTGTTTGTTCTCTTGTTATTTTATATTTGTTGTAGTTGCTCGCTGAATTTTTAGAAGGATGATGTCGCGAATGTATTTTTTTTTTTTTTTTTTAAGTAGAAGTGGAGAAAATAGATTGCATCTTACTAAAACAAGTCGCTTTGATTTTCAATGATGAAAATGGTACCAAATCGTCTTTACCGTGCATTTGTTTGTTGGCTTGTTATGTTATATTTGTCGTAGGTACTCGTTAAATGTATCATTGAGCAATGTACACATGTAATAGGAATATTAAAATTGTTGGATCTTTAATTTTTATATATGTATTTTTTGGGGCAAATCCAATCCCTCAATCAAATGGGAATGTACAATAATTGAAGCACGGTTTCGGAATTTAGCTCCCGTTTGATTCTCATTCATTGGCCACAAAAATGAAAAATATGATTATTATCCATATATCAAGTCCCCATATTTGACTTTCTATCTTTTGTGTGGATCCCATAACGACTATATTTTTTTATTTTTATTCTTACAAAAATGAATATCAAAGGGGGTTAATAGTGTGTAAATATTCTCAAGTACAAAAGCCAATTGTCAAAATGAATGTACAACAAGTGAAGCGTGGTTCCTATATCTTACATGCCAAGCCGCTCATGTTACGAATACGAGTTGTACAATGGGAAAACTGGGAAAGTCATAATTCGCAGACAAGGGTTTGAAAAACTGTATAGTGTGATTTAGCAGGACGTGAGTGGTCCAACCTTTGATTAGGACAAGTCCAGCTCAACATTCAAAATTTCCAATTGTGCTCATTATTTTCCTGGTTGGTTTGAATTAAAATTTTAAGTCAAGTTGATTTTAATAACACATTTTCATGGAATCATGATTTTTAATCACATATTTCATCAAATTTAATCAAAATTTACTTAAACTTTTGATCTTAACACTAGTCTTTGTTTTGTGTGTTGCACAATTATTATATTTATTATGTTATTATTAATGTGAAATGTGTATAATTTATATTATCTAAAAATTGTCAATACTTGTGCGACTCTTTACCCATGTGATAATAATCATCGGAGTGTATGATGTTGAAACTCGGAAGTCAGAACAATAATTTGATTTTAGCACCAACACCACTGTGAATGTTCATGTTAATTTATAAATGTTTTCACGGTACATCTATATGATAATATTATTCCTTACGAATTTCCAAAGGTTTACCACCTTACCAATAGTATCAATGTTGTGACATAATTTTCTACTCATCTTAAATGAAATGTGCAATAAAATTCTTCGGCGAAAACCATTTGGAGAAGTTAATTAATGTTAATATAAGGATAATCACAAGTTTTTCCTGTTGCGCGTGGTTTGGATCCTTAATTCTTTGCCCCTGTTGCGCGTGGTTTGTATCCTTAATTCTTATTCCCAAAGTTCCATATGATCTTAAATGAATTTGAGGAAATTGTGAAACCCAACATCGCTCGCTTTTACAGGGACTTCTAAGTTACATGAATAGTGACATAAAAAAAAAGGTCGGATGTGATGATTTAAAGCTACTAATAATTTTTTTTTAAATGTCAATACGAGAGAAAGACCCAATCAAATAAAAATTCAAATATTCAATCAACGTTATTTTGGTTAAGATCGAAAATTAACAATTGAAATTGAAAAAACAAAAAATAAATAAATTCGTGTTTTATCTAGCTTTTGAGAGTTTTAATCCATGTGCTATTTGATTAAAATCTATGTTAGTTATATTCGTAAGATAGAAATTGCAATATATGTTATTCGAATTTTTTGGCATGGGTTGTACGACTATGAATCATTTGAGATATCTACCGACTTTGAGTAGTTTTTTGGTATTTTACATTATATTGTATGATATTTGATTTTATTTTATATAACTATTTGTTAAAATTAATGGCGAAGAGAGATGAAGGTTGATGGGGTCAGTGAGGGATTTAATATATTCATTTTTGTAAAAGAGATTCCGTGCATGGTCACCTTCACTGTAGTATTTATCCATTCTCACAAACTACTTCATTTCATTCAATCGAACTGATAAAGAAAATAAATTGAATGATTTAACAAATTAAACAACAATAAAATTACGTGCAAAAATAAAAGAAACAAAAAAATTATTATACACTTTTTAAATTAAATTGAAATAATTAAAAGTAAAAATAAATATTATTTAACTAAAATTAAAAAAAATTGTAAAATAAAAAGAATTAAAAAAATTTTAAATCAAAAAAAAGTATTTATAATATGAAGAAAAAAGAAATTTTTAAAAAATTTATATATATATATATATATATATATATATAATAAAAACAAAATAATTAAAGTTATAAAAAAAAATATAAATATTGTTTAGTTAAAATTTAAAAAATTAAGTTTTATTATTTTTTTTCAATCCAAAAAAATTATCCATCCTACTATGTGTGGAGGTGGACACATTATGGACGAAGAGAAATCTCTCCACAAATGGAGGGATTTCTCTACGTGCACGAAGGAGCTTCTCTTTGTGCATCGAGGGAATTTTTATTTCCCCTTTTTTTCTTTTTTTTTCTTTTCATTTTGTTTACATTATAAATATTTTTTTTTCAACTTAAATTTGTTTTAATTCATTTCTCCATGATAAAACTTAATTTTCCAATTTTAACAAAATAATTTTTATATATTATTTATTTAATTTTAGTAACTTTATTTTATTTTGTTTTTATTATAATTTTTTGATTTTTTTTAAAATTTCTATTTTCTGCATATTATAAATAAATTTTCCTGATTTATAATTCTTTTTAATTCCTTTCGTTTCACGATAAAACGCAATTTTTTTAATTTTCATTAAATAATATTTATTATTAATTTTAATTATTTCAATTTAATTTAAAACTTTATAATAACTTTTTTTATTTATTTTTATTTTTGCTTGTAATTTTTTCTATTTTTGTTTGCAATTCTTTTTTTGTTCTCTAATTTCTTAAGTTATTTAGTTTGTAACTATTATGTTACATCAACACAAATAAAAAAATTAAATAATTTAACAAATTAAGAAAAAAAATTTGCGGGCAAAAAAAAAAAAAAGGTATTGTAAAGTTTTTTAATTAAATTGAAATAATCCAAATTAAAAACAAATATCAATTATTAAAAATAAAAA